GCTCTTTTCCTTTATCTATTGCTAACTTGCCTAACATAAACAAGCAGCACAACTGTACGTGTGATTACATACAGTTGCAAAGTTTGTATGCTAGAAAGACAAGTTTGAAATAATATATCGAATATGCTAATGTTAAGACTTACAAAAATTCTAAGGAACAAAAACTATCATGTTTGTAAAAAATATCCACTTCCCATAATAGTAATTGTATTTTGACCGTCACCACTATTAGACCTATTGAAATGGGGAAGTAACAGAAATTTAAAAATGGCAGTTTTCTGGATTGTTGCGCCGTGTAGTCTAGAAATTTATTTGTTTATTTATTTATAGTTTTTAACGAAGAATTTTCAGTAACTCAGACTCTATAGAGTCGAATGTAGCCCAGCAGAAGTTTACCGGCGTTTCAGAGGTCCTTGCTGCCTGATAAATTACTTCCCTGATGATAGAGGCAGCAATCACCGTTGAAACGTCTGTAAACTTCTACCAGATTAAACTACGTTTCAACCCAGAAGACAGCCATCTTCAAACCCACCGCCATGAGAACCTCTAATCTAACTTAAAAGCAATCTGTCCATATAAATGATGTACAACAACTCTAGAAACGACGTATATATAAAGTAATCGTTAAGCAGTGAACAATATCCAAACATATTACCGGCATAAATTTACTCTAAAATAGCGGTCGTGGAACGAAAACACTATTTTCGCAAACCCTAAACAAATTTAGGAATTGCCTTTATTGGACTCACAAAATTAACGAGAATCTGCTAAATCTTTTTTATCTAAAACCAATGAAATTCTAGTTAAAACTACTGTAACATATGCCGGCATCCACAAAGACAGTGTACTTTTAAATAGTATATTTTTTTAAAGAAATTTGTTCTATAAATACGTCATGGATGAGCATTTTGTGTGCGGCAAGCTGGCGAAGTCTGCTTACCAGCTATTTGTAACAAAGCAGGAAGTGCTTACGATATTGTGCCTGCGTTCTAATAAACAATGTTTAACAGCAGTCTCTGTGAACAGATTTTATTAAACTTCAAATTGGATTTCACAAAATTCTTTTTAACCAAATCTCTATTAATTTAAAAAGAAATTAAATTTGGAAACGACCTCATTAAATAATAATCTGAAACAAAATATCTGAATCTAAAATAATTCTATAACCTATTATTCGCTGAGACAAACATGTTTTTAAGGACTATAATGGGCTCCTCTCCTTATGATAAAATGCTTTATGCCCCTGTAGAGCTGAGAGGAATATAAAATTTGCGTGATAAAAGAGGCAACTTGATTACTCTTCGCAAAGGAAAATTTGTGCACGATTTCATAAGTCTGTCCGTATAACTTTAGGATATATCACATGTACGAATTATTTATTTTTATCCAAATTACTATGGACCCCACACTATTTCAAGATGCATGATTTCTCTGTAAGTGAAGATTAAAACACAGATAGACGATAAAATTACTAACGATCCATTTATAAGATTTGCTCTGCTGTCATATAAGTACGCACGCAACAAACACGCATATCTAGGCGTATATACATACATACATACGTACATACCTAAATTTTATTCACTCGTTACAATCTTAATTCCTACGTAAGATGTTTCATTTCTATAAACTGTCAATAAAACACTAGCATAAAACCAATTTGCTAAAGGATTATGCAGAAAGAAAATAGGAATAATTTAATTATCATCAATCAATGACATCAAAATATTGTAAAATGTAGCTCAATATTCGCGTGTAAATAATAGGTAACAATATTGGTAGTTAGTAGTAATGGATATCTCTTCATAGCCTTTTATTTTAAGTCAATGTACTATTTTATACTATTATGCAATTTATTATAATAAATTAGATTATGTGCCTCTTGTGATGTCCTAGAAATTTCCGAATTTTTAATATTATTATTATTAGGCCTACAATCACAGTAAAGTGATAGGACTGTTACAATTTTACGCGTAATAAAGAATAAATTCTGGAAACGTTAAATCTGAAAATATTGTGAAAAGGCTAGACCTGTGACTGATAATAATCTCGTTCATTATTATCAGAATATTTATTGTGGCCTTTAGGGTTATAGGACCATATAGAGGAGGTACTTAGTGACGGAGGCGATAAATTTATCCCAAATTACCCACAACAGTACATCGTGTTAAAAGACACAAGACTAAGATCCGTGGGAACCTGTAATCTCATTTCATTATAGAAAGTGTATAGTTATTTATATCATAGACCTATCTTACTTTTGATTATATTATGCAGAATATGCTTAATTTTCTTATTAATTCCAGAAACCAAATAAATGCCGGCTGCTCCTACTTACCGGCTAGCAGCTCACATCATCTGCGGGAGCGACTCCTCGTCCACCGAAGAATCGACGTACTGAGATCACGGCACCAACTGCCGCCATTTCGGCCTGTGTCGTAATATCAGCCCTAATAGACAACATTGTTGTTGGAGTCCTTTTTTATGGTCATCTGGATTCGAATGGCTAATACGAACACAAGCAATAGCACATTAATTTCCAGTTTCTGAATCTGACAGTTTCAATAAATACCTTATGTAAAATTCGCTGAAAATAATCGCATATTAAAAATATTCGCATGGAATTAACCCATACAACGGATTCTCAGCAATTCAGGTACTTTCAGAACAAATACGCTTTGATTTTTAAGGAAAATGTCCTAGAAGTTACAACAATTCTGTATGCCAGATTGTGAAGTTACGTCTTATAAGAAATGATGAATTTATTGTTGTATAAAGCAAAAAAACTGTAGGGTACAGGATGCGCAAAAACGTCCCCAACTCTTCTAATTTGACAGTTTTAATTTACAGCCTACCACTAAATATTTTATATGTCTCTTAACAAGCGTAAATTTGGAAAATATTCCCCAATTAGTTTTCATGATTGTGGTCTTCCAAGTTGTCACGTCGGGTAGTGTAGGTCGTTATCATCTTATCAAAATGGTTCTGAAGCTGTCGCCTAGCGCTTGTTTAAAAATGTTCAAAGTTAAATTTTCCCTTGCACTAACCCATTGGATTCTTTCTAAAACACGTGTCTGGGATAAATGCTATAACAATAATGACATCAATCTTAGGAGTCCTCAACTCTGTAGGTTATAGTCTAAGCTGTTAAGGCACCAGTAAATAAACCATACATAAAAGTTAACATATCTGAGTTTAATCAACCTGTCATGAGATAATATCTGTGTTGTAGTTCTACATAACACAGCGTTCATTCGACACTCTCCGTGCTTGTAATAAATCACCTTGGTTGCGCTTTGGATAATTTTAAGGTCTGCATTATTGAAAATTACTACGTGCAGTCTACAAATGCGAAATTCGAAAATAAACATAGGCCTGTAGGAGAAATACTTCAAAGTTTGCAATTTAGTTTCTTATCAGATTATCCGATACTTCAGAGAAGCCTATTCAAAGTCGGCAGTGGCCTATGTTTTCCGCCCGTTTTACTGCGATTGGCCTCTTGAGTACTTTGAAAAGCAACAGGCTTACTGCACATGACAACAGTAACGGGCTCTTGAATAACATCACACAGCGACCTACCTTAATATACGACTGTATGTGTAGATACTGAAACGACTAATGCAATTAGTCGCGAAATAAAAATGTTTCAAGGTCTAAGTCATCATCTTTAAGCAACAAATAAACTTCACGGTAATCTGGTCACACAGCACAACTTTTATGTTCCATTCAGTAGACAAATTTGTGTTCTTGTTCATATTTAGGCCTATAATTATGGAGTTATTCTATGTAACACTGTGTGATTCACAGAGCTTACAGGACCTATCACTTGTTTAAATCGTTCAAATGTATTCAGTGCTTGCTATTTCTGACCAGCTGATGGAAACAATGGAAGTAGCAAATGGTGGGATGTAACATCACTGTTACAATAAATTCATATTGTATTCAACTTCTTTTGTCAGGATTACGTTTGGAAAAAGGCAGTGTACAATGTGCAAAGGGTTATGCAATGTACTTCTCTGTCATTAAAGGGTTTAGTTATCCTTTTCATATTAAGAGAGAATAAATTATACACACTCTCATCCAGTTCCAGTCAAGAGTAGAATAACATAGCAAAAATATTTCATATATTTTTTTGTTTATCATAAACTTCAAGTATTCATCAATTATTCATCTATTCTCCTCTTTTCTTCCGTCCTGTTCGTCTGGTATTGCTAGGGGACCATTAACGTACAAAGCTGTTTGTATCCACGGCAGTTTGTTCGCTAGACAAACGCGTGCAGCATTAACCACCAAGACATAAGCCTATAGCTGGTATTTACTGGGAACTAATAATAACAACAATATGCCTAGGTCTTGCAATGAATCAGCCTTCCCGTTAAGAAATGTATTCAACTTCCTTACTTTAATTTTTTATTCTTCATTAACACTTGTTTCCATATTTTTAATCTTTGCGAAGCATTCGTATTGTTGAAAATCTATTATCATAAATTAATCTCTTGGTATATAACACATTAATTTGTATGTATTCGGTAAATTACATCCCTGATTTTACAGTAATTTCATGATAACTTGCAAATAAACTTTACGTTTTAACGGCAAAATGTCTTTTCTCCTGCCATTCTATTATAGCATTATCGGAATAAATATTAAATACACTGCCCGAAGAATAAGACTTAAATTAGAAGAATGTAATTTTGACAACTCCACACGAACCCTGACGCACGAGTTCAAGGTAACTGGAATGTCTCTAATCCAATGGCCGGACCAACTGTCCCTCGATTGAAGCACAACAGAAGATGCACAAATGTGACAGCCTTCTATCACGGAAATATCTTCTATTGAGAACATCGTGAAGATCAAATGGGAGAACAAGGAGGACTATAAGGTATTCATCATCGTTGTTTCATGACCTCCTCGAGTCACATATAGAAAGAGATAACCCATACAGATCTTTTGGTACGCAAGGTTGAACGGAGCAGTACTACATGTTATTGAAGTCACGCACTTTTGCGGAATGCCAAGTATTAAATTATCGCCAACATGGGAGGTCTCCGGTAGACTAGCTGTAACGGCCATCTACTGTTGCAATAATTCGTTGTCCAGAACTGATATAATAGGCCAAAGACACCTAGGCATTGAAGACAATTTTCTTATTGAAATAGGTCTACGTACACGTTCATAATGACCTGTGTTCTAATTATGTCACCGCTTTAAAACTAACTTCAACTCCGTGGAACAAAGTCTGAGGATAAAAGTCGATGGAACCAGAAAATTCATTACCGTACTCATAAAAGCCACATTAATCCAATGCACTATGCACCACCGTATTCCCTTAAGATACATTTTAATATTATCCTCCCAAACGCGCTTGATCTTCTATGTGGCGTGTTTCCTTCAGGACATTTAAACAAAACATTGAGTAATTTTTTATCTTCCTCGTCCGTGCTACATGCTCTGACCAGCTTTTTAACTCTAAAACACCCTTTTCTCTTGATACGAAATTCCAAATATTACACTCATACAAAAGAATAGGTTTGCCTAGCATATTATATTCTTTCCATTTTGAAACAGCAAATTGTAAGACAAAATATTCTGAACTCCACGGCAGCAAGCATACCGCTAGAATTTAATTTCTTCGTCCTTTAAACCCTTCCTCTCTTCAGTTATTTAGAAATATCATTCGGAAAATTCCTAATTACGAAATCAATTTTAAATTTCTCGCATGGAAACCACCTGAGTTTTTGAGCCTCCAGTCCTGAAAAGCGTATACTGTTATGCCAATGTTCACGTAATTAAGAATTTGGATTCTGCAAAACGTTAAAAATTGTACTTTCCGTTCCGTAAATCTTCGGACAGTTTGCATACTACAGAGTGGGTGGGAAGTAAGTAGGCATTGAGAAATGGTTATAACCTCTATATTTCCAATGCAAAGCGATTATTTAATGCCTACTTACTTCCCACCCATCCTGTAGAATAAGCATGGAAAAATGGTCTTCAAAAAAGTTATAAAAATATGAATAATGTATAAGAAATAGAGTGGAGATCAATAAAAGGGAGAGAACGGATTTTTATGTGCTGATTATTTTTAATTTTTGTGAAAGACACCGGAAAACGAACCAAACATTAGACTTTCCTTTAATTTTGTGACAAGTTATGAATAAGTCCAAGAGGTATATCTTACTGTGCGTTTACTTCTTCACCATCACACATCTTAATTAATAGGCCTATATCATACCACTATAACGAAAGGAAAACACTGACTGACCTCTTGATAAATGTTAGACCCCTGGGATGATAAACTTATCATAGTGAAGACATAAGGGACCCCTAATTATGTAGTCCATGACGTCTAATCGCTAAGTTCTGAATTATTGTTTTAATCCGACACAATACTTAAATTATACTTTTATCGCTCGAAGGAGTTCTATAAAAATTAAAAAGGGCTGCCTCATAATTAATTTTAAATCTTATCAAGCTAGAAGGTCGTAACCGTGTTTCTTGTTCTTATTCTTCGTCGCTTACTGGTAAACAAGCTTCCACAAAAGTTAAGGAAGTAAATCCTAGTGCTGTGACGTAAAGTGCCTGGTTTGTCACTACTACCCTTACAAATAAAATATCTATGAAAACAGGCCTGTGACATTACAGTAGGCTGTAAGAAGTGCTTACTAGCCTATATTACATTCTTTATCGGTATGATAAGTCAAAGAAATCTGCTCGAATGTGTCATACTCATAACTGATATTTAGGCCTATATAACGAATCCCACACCATCAACTTCTCTATTAATTACTTTATAGGTAATTATTTATAGCTTTTGAATGAAAGGGGCACTCAAAATTAATTTGTCTACAAAGAATCCAACCTCAACATTCCTGAAATGTTTCTTGAGTCTTCCAGTTCATGAAATCTCTCAACAAAAGTTTAGGTTTTCTTGCGCTGTGAAGAATTTTTATCTCTCCTTAGATAATATTGTAAGATGTTAAGAACTTCGATCTTATCATTTTTGTGAACCACAGCCACATTCCTGTTAATTCATAACAAAAACGCCAGAACGAGTTTGATAATATTAAAAACTCTTTATCTCGGGGCGTGTCTATTTAATATACAAATTTTCCCTGTCCGTCGAAATTGGTCTAATAGTATGTACCGATTACGTTGTCTACAAACACCAGCTTGTGTTATACGCCTATTGATATATGTCTACCTGAGAAATATGAATCTTGGTTTTGTAAGCAAGCAAGATAATTGTGTAACATCTTTTTTTATTGTACCAATCTTACCACCACTACACATTCCCTAGACTATTAAGCCTGTTCACACAAAAATAGCCTAAAAACTCATTAACGTTAAGTAGATTAAAGAAGGCTTACTCCATCTCACATTTTATTTGCCTAATCCAGAATTTTGCAACACATCCAAAAATGACAAAGTAAAATACACAAATAGGCTTTTACTCAAAATTAATTGACTGGCATCCATTAATAATGAATTATCATAGCAAATCAAAATTGCATTCACTAAGAAACCAAGAGTAGATTAAATTCGGGAAATTATTAAACCTACTAACACACAGTTCAGAGTTCTAAAGATATACAAAACCATAATGTTACCTCTTGTTTTGTGAAGGATGTGAAATTTGGTTTCTGACACTAAACTAAAAACATAGACGGAAGGTATCTGAAAATAGGATGCTGACAAGAATTCATGTACATAAGAGGTTTGAAGTGACAGTAGACAGAAAATGGTAGAATTATAGCAACAAAATTATGGCAAACATGACGACTCTTTAAATAGCTAAGACGGAGTCGGTTGGTATTACATGTAGGCTGTAGCCGATACGTAGGCCTATATGATAAGTCTTCCTCATGAAGCTTTCATGGAAGTGCGTCAGGAGCTTACATACAAGGCATTGTTCATACAGAAATTTTTCATGCAAATGGTTAGGCCTTTTCACCTTGGACACGATATTTATAAAGTATTATTTACTGGACTTCAGAGCCAAGTTTGATAATTTTACAAAATTGCAAATTTTGAAACTGATACATTACACAGTGCGATAATAGACATATTTTACATTTTAAACGCCTTGAGTACAGGCTTATGGGATTGTATGTCTTCGGCCCACACATACATACATACACGTGGATTGGATATATTTTCATATCACAAGAATCAATACCAACACACCAAACTAGTCTTAGAAACAGCTGGCAACTGAATGTTGTTTCAGTTCTTATTTGAAGGGAGCTTGGTTTGTTCCAGTTTAAGAGCACAGGAGTGGGGAGATGGAGGCCATGTTGAATAGCAAGACGCTAAATTTAAAGGTTAGCTACTCTGTTATCAACAATTGTGACCCATAAATAGATGTCTGTGGTACATAAATTGGACTTCCGATTTCGGAGTACCTCACTCTGAAACAAGCATTATTATAATGTAGCGAGATAGCTTTCACATACCTCGATATACGTATGTATTTGACGTGAAATATAAAGTCTGTCAAAAATCGACCCTGGCGGGAAAGAGAGGAACTGCATGTGTCATGGCGGCAAAGTGGTTAAGAGGAGAAAACTTTTATGGCCGCCAACACTTTTACGCGTCCTGATTGGTCTCCAGTGATATAAACGGCGGCCATCTTTGGTTTCCAATGGGGGAAAATGCTTTACATAATTTATGAAACCCAGCACGTCCCATCCGTTATGAAAGCGACCAATAGGAATGCGAAGGGTGAATACTGAAGGGCGGTGACTGGGAAGTCACAGTGGTGACGTAAAATTGACGTCACACTAGGACGGGAGGGTACACAATTTGTGGGTGTGTTTTAACCCCTTCCTGCCCCAAAAATATGTACTGGGCCCTCATGATGGCAATCACTGTATTCATTATCTTATATGTTGATTTCTAAACAAAGGTAATTATAACTCGCCTATCTATTTCCGTGTATCTCTGAAGCTTTAACAGCTTCACAAGCACTAATAGTGTTAGGTGTTGCCTGGAAACCACAAAATTATATTCGTATTCATTATTTAACTATTGAATTTGAGTACTAACAACATCAGTTAATAACAATTCTTATGACATCAATAAATACACTTCGTGTGTCCTAATAATGCCATCTTTGTTATTAACTTAAAGTATTTGATTCAGAAATTAGAGGAGAAAAGGCCTGTAAGCATCATTAGTTAATTCATGTTAAATTTCTAGAATAAATAAAGACGCAGTGTCACTAAACAATAGCTTTACACTAACCAACTGTTAATGACTTTCGAAATTCTATTACATGAAGCAAGTTGTGGGTGTTTTCAGTAAAATCCGGCAAAAAAATAATTAGGGCAATATAAAACACGCTTATGGCAGATAGGACTCTTTTCGTCCAAGAAAGGTAACAGACGTCTTCATGTCTAAAAGACATGTATCGTTTAACTCTCTTTCAGTGTGTATTCTTCCAGACAAGTCCATATTCAACACGAAACTGAACAGAGAAGAAAATTAATTTAAGAAGGTTATGAACTACGTAGTAAAGAAGTGCGTATGTTACTTCTACCACCAGCACTGTCAGTGATTAATATTGTATGAAAGTTAATGGAAAGCTTTAAATCAAACAACTAGGCGTAGCTCTAACAATTATGATATTTAGGTGTGTTTATTAAAACTTCAGTCAGGCGTTTCCCGTTCTGTGTTTCGATATAATGATAGTTTATAAGTTATAGCCTACAATGAAAATCATTGTTCTTAAAATCAGTCCTAAGTAACCGAAGATTAGGTAACGTCACGCTTATTCATCGCCCTGATAATGGAGGCAGCAAGGACCTCTGAAACGTCGGTAAACTTCTACACACTCGTTTATGCGATGTTTGAAAGAAGTACAGCCCGGACGCAACAGCTGCGATACATCCAGAGAAAATTTCGCTGTCGATTAGGCCTATTGCCCTTCTTTATGTAACGATGTAACTGAAGCCCGCACCCTATTTCCCTCAAGGTTAGAATCAATAGGAAACACGCCTATACACTACTAATACGAAAGAAGATCCGAAAGATATAAAGTTATAATATATATTTATAATTTACATAAACTCTTTAAAAATTTTATTATTCTTACAAAGTTGGGGCTGACTTAAACTTCAATATTTTCGCACTTATAGCCTCCAGAATTCTGCCTAGAACGCTTCTAATAGTTAGACGTGTCTGGAATTGTTAAAACATTGTCTGAGTTGAATTGTCTCTGGATTAGTAAATGGGCTACAACTTTGTGGACGTCATACGCATAAAGAATTGTAAGTAACAACTTAAATAGTACCTGTAAATCGTTGATTTAAAAGGAGTTACTAGCTTGACGTGCGAGAAAATCACCGTAATATCTGAACATGTGTCATATTTATGACACTTGCATCTTTTCTTACGTGCTTCACAGAATGGTATCAGTGTCACATCCACAAGTGTTTTTGCCTTTCTCATGGTTTTTATTACCGACTGGATTATTTATTGCCATCGTTTCAAGTCTAGACCAAAGCCATCAGTCACCACACGTTCCGCGTACTGTATGTCACTGTTTAATATTTCTTTGGCGTTACAGTCTTCCGTCGTCAGCAGCTGGACCAGCAAAGCAATGTGCACATGGAATTAATAACACCAACAAACAAGTTTAAACTGCTCATGCATCACATCAGCTGGAGTGCGGCTTTCGAATCTGCTGACACTGACCAAGAAGCTGATCTCCGGTTGCAGTGGTGGAAGGGGAACGTAAAAGACGTAGAACACTGAATGAATAGCAACACAGTTTATCACTCTCGCAAAGACACGTCGGTGTTTAACACATTGTATTTTTATCTGGAATTGGTAAATATTTAAGTTACCAATTTTTCCGGTATGCTACCAGGCCTCCTTAATCGTCACCTACACCTTTGAACAAGGTACACTACCACACATATTTTCTCTTCTGCGACTTGCATTTCGAAGGTTTTACATTTGTATCTTACAATCGATAAATTTGTCAAACAATTCCAAACTTTTATTGAAAACAAATATTAATTTCCTTGCTCGCAAAAGCTCACTAC